CTCTCTCTCTCTCTCTCTCTCTCTCTCTCTTTCTCTCTCTCTCTCGGCAGGGGGTGGGTACTGGGGATTGAACTTAGGGCCACTCAACCACTAAGCCCCATCCCCAGCCTTATTTTGTATTTGAGATAGGATCTCATTGAGTTTCTTAGCACCTCCCCATTGCTGAGGCTGACTTAGAACTCATGATCCTCCTGTCTCAGCCTCCCAAGCTGCTGGGGATCACAAGCATGTGCCATAGTGCCCAGCACCTGTTCTCTTTAAAATGGCATTGTTGGCTATGTATTCTTTTTTTTTTTTTTCAGAAGAAGATATATTTAATTTTATTTTTCTATATTTTATTGTTACATTATAGTTTCACATAATGGTAGGATTCATTGTTACAGATTCATACATACACACAATATAACAATATAACTTGGCCAATATCATTCCCCAAGATTTCCCCTTTTCCTCACTTTCTCCCTTCCACTGGCCCCTTTCCTCTACTCTTCTGATCTTCCTTCAATTTTCATGAGGTTCTCCTCAACCATTCTTTTCCTCTTTCCTCTATAGTTTCTACATGAGAGAAAAAAGCACACAACCCTTGACTTTCTGAGTTTGGCTTATTTTAGTTAACATAATATTCTCAAGTTCCATCCATTTTCCTGAAAAATGACATGATTTAAAACTCCTTTGTGTATGTATGCCACAGATTCCTTTCACAGATTCACAGATCCATTCATCCATGTTGGACACCTAGGCTGGGTCAATAGTTTGACTATTGTGAATTGTGCTGCTATAGTATATTTCTTAGGATAAATGCCAAGGAGTGGTATAGCTGGATCATAAGGTGTTCCCATGCCTAGTCTTTAGAGGAACCTCCATACTGATTTTCATAAAGGTTGTACTAATTTACAACCCTACCAGCAGGATAAAAGTATTTCTTTTAAAAAATAAATGTTGGCAAGGATGTGAGGGAAAAATATATAATCATCCATTGTTGGTGGAACCAACCTAGGTGTACTTCAACAAATGGGTAAAGAAAATGTGGTATATATACACAATGTAATTTTACTCAGCCATAAAGAAGAATTATGGCATTGTAGAGGTCTTTCACCTCCTTGGCTAGATTTATTCCTAAGGTCATTGGGTTTTGAGATTTTTTGGTTTATTTTTTGTTTGTTTGTTTGGGTTTTTTTTTTTTTTTAGCTATTTTGGATAAGATTTCTCAGCAGATTCATTGTTGATATAGAAGAAAATTATTGACTTTTGTATGTTGACTTTTTTAACCTGTTACTTAGTTGAATTTATTGATTCTAGCAGTCTTCTGGTAAATATTTATGGATCTTATACGTATGGGTTCATGTCTGCAAACATATAAACATATCTGATAATTTGACTTCTTCCTCTCTTATTTTTATTCTTTTTTTTCCTTCTCTTGCCTAATTGCTCTGACTATAATTCCTAGA